CATAACTTGCTAAGCTAACGTGTACAACATAATGTTAAGCTAACGTGTAGAACATGTTAAGCTAACGTGTAGAACATGTTAAGCTAACATGTATAACATATTGTCACAAGAGCCAGTGTACAGAATATGTCTTTTAATCCTAAAAGATGTAGGAAAGACATGTTTTGTAAAGCATGCTGTGCTACAATAAGAAAAATCCTAAAAAATGTATTCTAGATTATCTGTCATAAAGAACATTTATGTTCCAATTCTTTATGCGGCCCTTTAGTCGCTTTAAACGTCTTGATGTGGCCATTTGGATCAAAAATGTTGCCCACGTCTGTTTTAAACCCTGAAGTTGTGGATTAAAAATACTTTTATATGGGCAAGGTACTGAAGTCGTTTAACAGATTGTGTAAAAGTATCAAGCTGGATTTAAACTCAAACAGAAACAGTGCAGCAAGACTCACAGCTTTTACAGATTTAAAATAATCACTATTTTAATATGTACGGTACGCTAGTCCTTCAGAACGTGAACACGTACTGTACGTTCCCAAAAATATCAGGGCCGAGCCTTTTCTGCGTTGAAAATTTACCTTAACGGCACCGGCTGGACGTCAAAGGGAAACTCTTTGTTATAGGTGAGTATGTTCTTTATTACTGTTGATGAAAAGGACGAGTTTTATTAGAATTTAACGTTCAACTGTAAATCTGTGGACACTCAGAGCTACCAGCCAGTAAACTCACTGGTTTCCAGTTTCTTCAGGTCTTCTAACTTGAACTCTTCCTTGGACTGCGTGCACTGAGGAGACGCAAACACATGGAGCGTTTCAAAACTGAACAAACACGTTCACATTTTAGGTTTTTATTGTGCAGGAGTGTGGTGCGTGTTGAATCCTACACAGTGGTTCGTTTATAAGAGTTCGGATGCACATGCCATTTAGAAAAAACAAAACAGGAAGTCTAAACAAAATTCGACTTCTTCGTCAAAGCAACAGCACTTATGGGTTTGGAAAAACAAAAAAACATTGTTTTAAAGCGACTTATTTTTTTAACGATTTAAATAAATGGCAATTAGTTACATTGTTTTGACTTAACGTTTGTGTGTAATAAATTAATCACTGGCGCAATGGATGTAAATAAGCGCTAACGTGAAAAGTTACGTGAAAAAAAGCTACAATTTCAAGTATTACAAAGATTGGCAATTTTTAAAAAAACTGAGCAGCAAAGCAACAAAAAGGTGTAAACAAATAAAAGTCAAAGGAAACACAAAAACTTTCAACGCAAACACTGCAACATTAAAACCAGATGCGACAGCAGCAATACCACAACTAGACCGAGAACAGCTACAATTAATCACAAAAATATTATTCTGTGTTGAGGGACGATGCAGTCGTAGCTGCGTTGCTCAATCCTTGTAGGATGATTGCATTTTTTTATTTTGCGTTACCCGTAATTTAAAGTAAAGATCTTTTCTATTCTAAGAGGTTTGCTTCATTTTTCGTTACAGCCGTATGAAAAAACAAGACGAACCTGCAGACTGGCACTTCTCATCTCCAGGCATGTCGCAAACTTTCCTAAGGTTTTCTATTTATAAAGAAAAAAAAAAGAGAGCGAAAGCACAAACTCTTAAGATTTGAAGTAGAGCAGCTGAGATTATTTTTTATCTCAAACAAGTAAAATCGTTACCTTCTGCTCCTCTGTGAAGTCTGATGAATTCGTAGACTGGACTTCTTTCTGCAGCTGTCTTGCTAGACTAATGAAGCACACATAGATGGATTAATCAAACACTTTATAATATAAAGGAACTCATTGCGATGTGAAGTTTGGCGACCGAAGACCAAATTGTTTTCTCGTATCGATAGTGGGTTTTAAAATCTAAAATTTGTAAGCAAAGTGTGTGACTGGCTGCTGACAACTCCATGTTTGTTTACCTACAGAAACAGTCAAGGTGATTGAAAACACGTCAACAACGACAACATTCACAAAAAAGCTATTTGGGATCGAGATCGATTTAATGTACGCGTATAATTTAATGTGGCACGTACTTATGCTCAGATTTGTTGTCGACAGTAAAAGTAGGGATGCACGATATTATCGGCATAGTATCGGTATCGGGCGATATTAGCAATAAACTTAAATATCGGACATTCAATCAAAATAACTCACAGATATAAACGGCGCTGTTTTTCTAGGACAACACAGTTGCAAGGATGGCTGCAGCGTAGGGCGATGTATCGATATTTTTTAAAATATTGATATAATTTAATTCACGATATAAAACGATACCTACAGATAATAAATCTGCCAGTTTTTTCCTCCCCGTCACCTTAATGCCACCCCTCCTTTAACAAACCTGCCCCTCCCCCGCCGCTTGCAGTGCCTGAAGACTATTTGAATTAAACTGAGCTTAGATGTGCAGATATCTTTGTCGTCCAACAGTGGGAGAGAACTGATAGGTGTTAAAAAGCTTAGAGAGAAAAGAAAAACTCCAACTGAGCTCTGCACGTTCAGAGTCAGAGCTTTGTTAATAAAAGTTATTAAAGGTTGAATGAACATACTTCATTAGAATCAGATTTATTAATAAATCAGGGTGCCGTTAAACAGGGTGAAACACTAAAAACAAGAACACATTTACTTTGATTTTTCTATGGACACGTCTTGAAACTTGTATTTGTATATGTAAATAACTGTCTAAAAATATATATATGTAAATAGTTTATTTTGTAGACATTTATTTTGTACAGTTATAGCTGTTAATAAATGTGCCTGTGTGACAACTGGGACTGAAATATATTTTTGTTATTACTTTATGGAAAGAAAAATATATTGCGATACATATCGTAATTTATCTTTAAAATATCGAGATATTCATTTAGGTCTATATCGCCCAGCCGTACTGCAGCGCCAGCACGTTATTCAATATACTTTAATGATCCAAAAGGGGAAATTTCATATGACGTCACGCGTGCCGTTGAGTTTAGATTAGTGAAAATTTACAAATTTGCACTGTTCCGAGTGTTGTCGTTGTGTTAGAGAGAGTAAATGTCATGAATAAATTTGACATTAAACGTAATCCAAGTTGAAGTCCCCCTTTTCTGGCATCTGCATTTAGTAGCAGGACAAATTGACAATGACCATGCAGAATAATGTATTTTAATTCTACAGCAGAGAAATATATGTCGTCTCTGCAAGTAGGACTAGGGGAAAAAATATAAATAATCGGTATCGCCAAACAAGTTTTAACATATCGGCATTTCGTCCAAAAATCCAATATCGTGCATCCCTAGATAAAAGTGCTTTATTTACACTGACTGCATACCCCCATTACACAGCTGCATATCAATACATCTGGAAAACTACTGGAGAAAACTCTTTGAAATTGCACCATTTCATATAGTTCTGTCTGGATTCATGGTTTGCAGGGAGATGATGTGATTTGTTATCAGTGGGCTTGTGCTGCGCCCCCTTGTGGTCAACAAACAACACCAGCAAGTGATCATTTGAGAGCAATTTAAAATGAATCCTTACACACAAATGATTGGAAAGCTGATCACATCCTGAAAGAAGTTGCAGAGAAGGCTCACCCCCTTTAGAGAAGCAGAACGCTTTCCTCACTGAACACAAATAAAACCCACTCCAAACAATAAGAGGGTGTGGCTGACTATTTCCCAACACTCTTGAAGGGATACACTTGCTCGTTCCTCGCACTGTGAAACACACAAGCAGCTCCGGACGGATTTATCTGTGAATGGAGCTCCTAACTGCAACAAATGTCGCTCCACGTCATGGATGGGAAGGTTCAGAACTTCTGAAGAAGCAGCTCAAAACGAGCCAACCCCTCCTCCACGACCGCCGATAACCCCAAAGTGACAAGACAGGACACATGTTGAACTTACATTTGGTACTCATCTATAGCCTCCACTAATTGTCCCCACGAGTCAAAGTCTGTGCCTTTCTTAAAACTGGCGTGCCATTTCTGAATAGTCTTGTTGACATCAGACATTTTGGCGGGGCGGATACTCGCGGCGCTCTCAGGGCAGCATAGCCGAGGAGGAGATTCATCTACGGGGCTTGTCGGCGGCGGCAGCGTCGTCACAGTCCTGGGTTATCAACACGTCCAAAGACACACGGATAAAAAAATTAAATAAAAAAAACTAAAACGGTGACACCCTTGACCAAGCCCTGTTTGTCTGCTCCGACTCTCGGACACATCCGCTACAGACAGGAAGTCCCGCCCAGAACGAGTTCGGAGGCGCGCTCGTTTTACGATGCGGAGTCGCCCGAGAAGCGTTCTGACAAAAACTGCAGCACTTCTGTTCATTTGTAACTACAAATGAAAAATGCTCAAATTAATGGAAAATATTGTAACAATAATCTAACAAGGTTAAGGTTATGCATCAGGACATTCTAAAAATAAAACAGCTTATGATATTGAGTAGGGGTGGCACGGTGTCGCAGTTGGTAGAGCGGTTGCCTCACAGCAAGAAGGCCATCTGTTCAAGTCCCGGCCTGGGAGCCTCTCTGGATGGAGCTTGCATGTTCTGTCTGTGCATGCGTGGGTTTTCAATGGGTACTCCGTTTTCATCAGATCAAAAACATGCATGTTAGGCTGATTGGTAATCGGTACAAAAAAAAAAAAAAGACAGGGAATGGTTGTTTGTCTCTTTTGTCTCTATGTGACCCTGTGATGGACTGGACACCTGTCCACAGTGTCCTGCACCTCTGGCAGTGACTGCTGGACATGGGCACCATTGAACCCCACCCAAAAGAAAAAGCAGGTAAAAGATAATGAATGGATGGCTGGATATTGAGAACATTTGGAGTCCATGCCAACCGGTTAGTACCGTATATTATTTTTGAAAAGTAGTTTAAAGGTGCTCATTGCAAACAATGGTGTCAAAATAATAAAAAAATAAAAAAAAGATTTTTGGTGCAGGCTAAAAGAGTTGACTCGAGTAGGTTTCCCAGATGTATTGATATAATTCTGAAACGCTGGTACGCACTTAATGTCAACAAAGCAAACTTCACTCACTGAATTTCAGAACATACCAAAAACAGTCAGATGTCTCAAACTCAATCAGCTCTACCATGGACTCTGCCATTGTTGACTTGTTTTTATTTACCTCCGCTGTTTTCCTAGGTAAACAAAAAACATGTAGTAATCAGCAGCCATTCTTAAATTTCACGTAATTAAAAAAAATATACAAACACATTCACCATTGATTTGAGAAAAAGTATTGTGTGGACTTTGATTTTTACTTTCTGGATTAATTTTTGACTACTTCTCTGAATACTTCTTGAATAAATGTTATTTTATTGTCATAGATAGACAGACAGATAGATTTTAAAACTGAAAACAAATTGAAAAGTCACAAGTGAGGTAATTAAATGTGACCATTTGCTTAAATTATTTCAGTTTTGAACGTCAAACTGCAAACATTACAGTTACAACAAATGCATTTTAGAGTATTTATTGCTGGGGCAAATGTTTTCTTTGCCACTGAGCGCCATTGAATGGTTTTGGACCATTTGTTTTCATTCAACCTTTAGACAGGTGTGGGAGTTTCACCTTTACCACCCACATTTTGATGTTGATGGTACCGGGAGTTGAACCTGCGACTTTCTGATCATGGGCCCGTCTTCTCTGGTCTGTCCAATCTGATAATTAACTGGACTATTTAAATTTATCACAAGTGAGGTTTTACAAGTGTTTGTGTGTGTGCGCGCGCGCTGCGACCAACTTGTCATCTGATTTGCCTAGTATGGTTTCACTTCCGGTTTTAATCTTCAGATTAAATTAAATAAAACATAAATTGTTTTACCTTATTACAGGAGTTTGTAAAAATAAATCATTTTAGGTCGTCTTCTGAACAGTTTCTAACTGTAGCACGTTTATACCCGTCCTTACTCCCCTTTTTTTGAAATGTTAATAATGTTAAAGCAGGAACTTGCTTTTTATTTTTCTCGTGTGAATTCCTAACGCCTTTATTTTGAAGGCACACTTGCCGTCTTCCGGTTTGTTCCAGAAAGCGCTACACTGTTAGCAATTAGCAGCAGCTATGTTTTGTAGAAGAAGTAAAGCGGGATGTTTTAGCTCAAACTGGCCTCTGACAGCATGAGATGACATGGATAGTGTAACGACGGATTCATGTGCGGCTGAGGAGGAAGAATATTCCGACTGGAAGGTTTTGTGTTTGAAGAGAGTCGGAGGAAATTCTGACTGGCTTCTCTTGTTCGAAAATGCCGAGGTGCAGTTTTTTTGTTGTTGTCGCTAATGCTAGCTCAACTTACTAAAGAAGTACTGTAATGTTAGATGCAGTTTACCACTCAATACATGCGCCTTTCTAATACAAAGTCGTTCTGCTGTTAAATGACGTAATTTCAAAGAACTTCGAAGTTACTGGAATTAGTTTTTTTGTCTCCAGATCACCGTTGGACGTGGTTTGGACGTCACCTACCAGCTGCTGTCTTCAGTTTGTCCCCTCATGATCTCCAGACTACATTGTGCCTTCAAACAAAAAGAAGACGGCCAGTGGACAGTGATAGACAAGAAGGTAACAAGGTGTTTATGAGCTAGTCCTAATATTCTATTGATTAAACAGAGAGAGAGATGCATTAAACTCTGTCTTTGGTTGTCCAGCATCTCCTTGGTCGATATTACCAACAACAGCCAATAAACTGTTGTATTCTTTCCCAGAGTCTCAACGGCGTGTGGGTGAATGGACATCGAATATCTGCTGATGAACCCCATCTGCTCCGGCTTGGAGACTCCGTACAACTTGGAGTTCCTTTAGTAGGAACCAAAGTAGAGTTTGACTACATCCTCACCCACCAGCTGCTCAAAGACATTAAACCCTACCTGGCTAAAAGACACAAAGATTGTGCCATAGCACCTCAAATTCTCAAGAAGTTCAAGAGGAAATTGACTGTGGAGGATGTTGAACCTTCTACCTCAAAACCTAAAATGTACCGCAGCTCTTCGGCGGGGGATTCTTTAGTAAAGCCCTGCCGTCTGACTCCGGTGCAACATCTGCAACGACTCGGTAGCACACAGCCGGAGGAGAAAAACCCAAGCAGACAAATCGTAAAAGAGCATAGCTCTGATGGCCCCAGCTCTCCCTGTGACCTGGACTACCTGCAGAGGTAAGACTCTCTGTCTTTTGTGTTGCATCATTGAGTGAAATAAAAGAGCTCGTCTGGATTCAAATACAAAGTCGACTGTTTCGTTTGCAGGTACAGCCAGAATATTCTCCTCTTAAGGGAGCAGGTGGATGACACCCAGAGGCAGGTAGCATTTCTTGAAGGAGAACCCAGACAGGTCAACCTTCTGCGGGGGGAACAGGTCCGAGAGCTGCAGGGTCAGCTGGAGACGCTCCGAGCCAAAATGCACCAGATGGAGACACTGGAGAGATCCTTCAGTGAAGCTAAGAGGCAGCTGGAGGTGGGAGGAATTTTTTTTGTGTGTGTGTTTTGTTTTTCTTTCAAGCATCTTTTTTCATTCAACCTTTATTTAAACAGGTTAGTCCCATCCTGTTTAATACACGATACCTTAGTTGTCTTCATCTAAGTGAAGGATGGTAATGTGAAATGGTGAAGAGGGTAATGTGTTGAAGTTAATTATGACTTTTGAGAAAAGAAAGCAATGTTTATGGAAAAGAAAGGTAATATAAAGCATTAATATTGTACACTGTTAACGGTTTGTTGGTTAACAAATAAAGTACCGTATTTTTCAGCCTATAAGTCGCAGTTTTTTGCATAATTTACATGCCCTGCGGCTTATAGGCCAAAGCGACATAAACCATTTTTGGCTGAGGTATGATGGTTTTCATTCACTGACTGAAAAAAAGAGCAGTACCACTTTCAGCCACGTGATGGCAGCAGAGTAATAATGGCTGTATGGCATGCTGTTGTATCATAGGTAAATGTGGCTATAATGACAAATTCAAAAAAGGTCGAGACAAAAACAACTGGACTTTATTTATTATACTTTATTGCTTTTTTCTTGAACTTTTTTTTGAATTTCCCATGTCCTGGATGACTGAGCATATTCAACAGCTTTTAATGACTCACTCGGCCTGCCATCGTCTCTCCACCTTCATTCTGCTCTCTGCTTGGAGGAACCGTCAAAACAGCTGCACCACCCCGGCGGCATGCAGCTAATTTGACCATCAAAGTGCATTTATTAAGCAAATGTTGGGCTGAGGCACACATTTACTATAATTTCGAGCAAACAAATAATTGTTTTTAAATGTTAATCTTGTTAAATTCTTGTTGAAGTACTCCCGTGCACGCTCCCGCGGCCGCCATTTGGCAGCCCATCGGTTTTTGGCACAACACCGGCCCACATTTCCGGGTTGTCAGCGGTGACGTGTCGCAAACGCGACACGTCAGCGGTGATGCATAATAGATGCAACGTATACGGCGAAGCGACATATGTATGGATTTTTCCACTTTATTATACAAATATGGACTGATGCGACTTATAGGGCGGTGCGACGGGTACGGTGGAAAATGCGGTAAATGCAATCTGGATGTTAAAAGCAGCGCTTTGGTCGTCACTGCTCTCTCCTGTTTTATTACTCTTCAGATTGTGCACTTCACTGCTGCAGCGGTCCGGACACTTCGGACCTGTAACAGATCGTGATCTTTTGTATTCAGCATCAATTCTAATCAGCCGTGTTCATGCTATTTGTAGCATTAGCTTTGTAGCTTTGTTTAAAAAAAAATCAAAGTGCTTAAAATGCACATTCTTCATAATCAAAGTGTGATTTTTATGTGTTCAGGAGCAGAAAACACAACAACAAGAGGAGCTCATGAAAAAACAGCTTGAAGAAGCCTTACAAGAGGTAAGAAGCTTAAAATCAACAATTTTAGTTGTTTAGTAAACAGTGAGGTGCTACTGTTGTGAGAAAACTGCTGAGAAATCTGTCAATGTTGTTATTGAAAAGGAACGTGATTTTATACGGTTAATGTGGGTTAATATTTGAGTATAATAAAGTTTGTTTTTTGTGTGAATTCGCAGCAAAAGAAAGTGATAGGTGAACTTGCTCTCTCCCGGCAAGGCTTTGAAGAAATTCTCTCAGCCAAAAACAAAGAACTAGAAGTAACAAAGGTACGGGTGCATTTATCCTGATGCATGCTCAATAATCCAGGTAGAAAAATCTTAAAGTTGGAAAGGTGCATTTAAAAAAAAAACATATACATGTTTTACTTATCTTTGGTGACTTTTAACGCTTTATTCCTTGTTTTTACAGGAGGAAAAAGAAAAGGCGAAGGCCCAAAAAGACGAGGTAGTTACACAAGTCACCGAAGTCCTGGAGAACGAGCTTCAGTGCATCATCTGCTCAGAGCTCTTCATCGAGGTAAACACAAGTTTATCAATATGTTGTCCTCCCTGCTGTTTCTAACTTCAACCAGCAGACCTGAAAAGACTCAAACAAGTCTACAACTCGGTCAGTTTTACAGATGTTGACCTAAAACGTGGTGTGGTAGTAGCTGAGACTGGTCCTCAACACATAGTCTGAGCACTAACAGACTGCACACAATGTTATTTTCAAAGCTCGTCTAAAATGGCTCATTTCTCGACTTAATCTTAGTCTACAACTCTGGCATGAAAGGGAATGTTGGGCGTTTTATTCTAAAAATGTGTTTCTTCGTCAGAACCTCACTTGTATAAAAACAAATCACTAATACTGTGGATTCTAAAGCTGTTACAGTAAGAATAGTTTGAGAACATTTAATGGGAGGGAAAGTGACTTTTGTTGCGTGCTTTGATTAGATTTTTGTTTTCCCACGCAGGCAGTGAACCTGAACTGTTCTCACAGTTTCTGCTGTTACTGCATCAATCAATGGCGCAAGAAGAAAGACGAGTGTCCCATCTGCCGACAGGCCATCCAGTCCCAGTCTCGATGTCTCGCTCTGGACAACTGCATCGACCGCATGGTGGAGAACCTGAGCCTGGACATGAAGACCAGACGACAGACCCTAATAACTGAGAGGAAAGGTGAGAGGTGTGTTCCCATCCTTCAATAAGTACTCCTAGATCCAGACACATCTAAAGCTTCCACAGTCCGGACGTTCTAACAGCTTCCAACATCTGATTTGTCATTCCATCATTACTATATGAAAATACTCATTTCATAACCTAATCAAATATTTACAAATGCAAAGAACTTTTTATTGGGAATAAATTCTAAAAAAATTAAAGGAATATGCAAAACTAGCACTCTTATTCCTTGTCAGAAACCAAAGAAGCGCTGTGATCGTATTGAATCTTTATTAATATAAAGCCTTTTTTTCTTGATAAAGCTCCAAATCGTATTGAAACATAGACAGTTGATACATTTTCTCGCAATAAAAAAGTAAAAAGAAAGAAGTACCATACTTTCCGCTGTACACATCGCACCACCATATAAGTCGCATCTATTGTGCTGACCACCCGGAAACGTGGGCCGGAGTTGTCAAAAATCGATTGGCTGCCAAATAGCGACCGCGGGAGCGTGCACGAGAGGACTTTAACTCAAATTTAACAAGATTAACACTTAAAAACAATTATTTGTTTGTTCGACATTATAGCAAAGGTGTGTCTCAGTTGAACTTAATGCACTTTAATGGTCAAATCAGCCTTTGTTTTTTTTAAGCCCTGCAACTTTCTCTCTATTTATAACATGCATACAACTGCTTCCTTCAGTGAATAATAAAATATGTCTTTTTGGCTTAGAGGCTGTCTCAACATGAAAGTAACAGTAATTCTTGTTCAGAACATAAAACTAGTACACAGGAAACTGACAATATTATATAATTGTTGTAATTCCTCTCAGTCAACACTACTAAAAAGTAGAAGAAGAAAAATGCAGAAATAATTATTAAAAGTTAATGCAGCTGTTATTGGCCAGTTGTTACAAACCTTGGAATAAGTCTATGAGGTGCAGGGTGTAACACAAAAACTGTAAACTAAACATAAAGCAAATAACTCAAAACAACCCAACTTGGCATTACAATAATTTAATCAATTAAGAGTTTTGGGCAGGAGGTGAAGCTATGAACGTCAGGGTCTCCAAGGCCAAAACAAAAGAATGCCCCTTCTGACTAGAAAACAAAATCACCTCTTATCTAACAAAACTAAAACTACAATCCCTAAGCTAAAGTTGTTTAAAATAAAATGGCAGAGAACCTCTACCAAACTTGCCATCTAACAAAGGTTCTTAAATAGAGCTGTTCACGGAAGTTAAAGATCAACTCAGAGTTGCTAAAATGCTTTGCACAGAGTTCAGTTCAGAGTCAACCACACCACAATGCTCAGAACCAAGGAGAAAAGGGCGTGGCGCTGGATCACTGGAGCTTTTCTGCAGTCCACTGATGAGGAGGAAGTGACTCCAGGCGTGCAGCATGGTGAGACGGCAGGCCTGTAGACGAGCAAAGGAGGAGAAAGGTTGTCCTCTAGTAAGAGAACCTCCTAGAAATCAGTGGACGTAACACCAGTAAAGACATGATCACGGTTTTCTCCTATAATTATGATCGTGTTGAGAGGACTGCAAATGTCTCGAGTCGTCCTTTTTATGTTTACGCACATCTTTACATAAGAATTTATGCAACTGCTAATAATGTAATTGTTTCAGCTGAAGCGTCATCCTAACAGGTCAGTGGAGAACTTTGAGTTGTGTTGTTGGGTTTATTTTCTGCAACCACTGCAGTCTGTTGGTAGGTGGTCCGCAATGTGCAGCGAGAAGAAGGTTTCTAACACAAGATGGCAGCACAGCAAGGTATTTTATCTGCCTGTTGTCTGCGCTTTAAGGAAACCTTGATGATGAGGCTTACGCATTCAGTAAAACCAAATTAGTTGTTTTAATCTGAGACAAAGTGGTGCTACAGATTTCTAATACAGGTGGAACCTAAACAAAAGTTGTTTTTTTTAAATCGATGCATCTCATTTCTGCTTCTTGTTTATGTTAAACAGTTTTAAAAGCAAGAGTGTGTAATTTTAAAGCACAAACCTAAAAAAAAAAAAGTCTAATAATTAAGAGGTCGTAAAACATCATTTAAAAAAAAAAAATCATCTTTATTTTGTCAAGCTTGTCTGCTCCGGATACTAAAAACGACGCGGTGTTTGAAGTGAAACCAATACACAGGTCAGTTGCTTTTGAAAGATAGAGTTGCTTTTTGCGTTTTTCACATGTCTTTACTCAGAGGAAAGCAGTGAAGCCGTCTCGTTCAGACTCGGAGGAAAGTAGGTGCCCCCTCACCGAGAAAGGTCTCACCTCGTGGCTTTCTGTTTTGCAGCAGCAGAAGCTGCAGAGGTGATGGTGATCGACGATGACGACAGCAGCGGCAGCGACGGGAGCATGGTGTCTGTGTACGGCAGCCTCAGCTCCGTGGTCTCCGTGGACACGAACAGCAGCATCTTTTTGGACTCTGATGACTTTTCCTGGGATTAGCCTTTCGTTAAGACTTCTTATTTTGCCAATTCCGGAAAAGTTCCCGACTCAACGAGGATAATTGAGCGAGTCCACTCGCAAAGTTTTGCTGATGTTTGCGTCTTTTTCTAAAATGATTAGTTGTGTTTGTGTCTTTATTTTCAGCAAAAGGTAATAAAGGTTCTTCCCGTGCGCTTTTATTTTTTTAATCTTCGTTCTTCCTGTGCGGTTCATTATGCAGCAGATTACGAACACGTTCCTTGACAGAGACTTTAAACTGTAAAGGCTGCTACATACTTTGCAAGAAGAGAGAAAGTAGTTCTCTCCTAAGCTGCGAGAAAAGAATGTTTTTCCTTACAGCCCCAGTTTGGGAGTTCTTGCTCGACATGTCACCCGGGCAGAACTTTGTTCTTGTCTGGTGTCTGAAAAGTTTTTTGCAATTGGTCCGAAATCTGAAGTGGGCACATGGATTTAAAGTGCCTGTGACGTCAAAATTTTGTAATAAATACAAATGCATTTTTGGAAAGACAACATTAATAATATATTGCAAAATAAATTTCAAGTTGCTGACATGCACAGTTGTTGAGATATTTGCATGCACAATAACAGGAAGTGATGTCAAAGGGGAATGTGCATGAGAACAGATCATTGCTACAATGGCTAACAGACAGCAGAGAAGAATCTGACATTTATATTATTTAGAGTCACAATCAGAGATGAAGAGTCTGGGTTTAAATATTGTTTCAATGAACAAAAACCAGGAAGTTCCCCTTTTTTAAGAGTTCTCCTTTGATGTCACTTCCTGTTTCACTTTGGCTGCGCCAAGTTTAAAGGAAAATGTGCCAGTTACGTGACAAATTGAATAATATTGTGTATTTAGCCAAAAATTCTTAAATATTAAAACATTTTCTTCCATTTTTGTATTTGTAGGATATGCATGCCACAGTCACTTTAAAGCTGAAATGTTTACATTCCCATTTTTCAACTGGTGCGGACGTTCGTCCAATAAATTTGGAGCAACAGCTGACTGACAGTGAAGATTCAAAACACGTCCTTAGAGGCACACAATATGGATAATTGGTGGAAGAAGGAAGCCAAAATGTGCACAGAGGAGAGCATTTGTCAAAAAATGGCGTTACCTTGGTGATAAAATTGCAAAGTCTAAACATTGTGTTTAAACAAAGTTTCTCATGAGTTATGGAACGTCCTGGCCTAAACAAACTGTTCTTGTTCTTGACAGCTCGAGAAAACAAGTTTCCCAATTCTTGCAGAGTATGTAACAAGCTTTAGAATGTGTGTGAAGACTTCTTCTTTTTTATGACGTAGTAGCAGGACAAGTAGGCGCTAACGAATCCTTGTACTCGTTTTTTTATTTGTCCCAGTTTTACTTTTGCCGTATGACCTGGATGTAAGTTTGAGCTGCTGTTCGGGGTCTAATTTCTCATCAACTACAATTAGGTTCAATTGGTGCAAATGTTCATGGGGCCTACGAGATCAATCTAAATCAGATTACCAGATCTGATAAAACCAGACCTTCCTGTAAATTCTCCATTATTTCGTTTTTTACAGATGTTGGTTGTTTCAGGGGTGTTTATATTTATTAAAATTCAAATTAAAACCCGAAACAGCCTTGTTTTTGTAAATGAGTGGTAATCTTATGTTTATGCCCATCTGCAGGTTGACAGCAAACTTGATGACATGTCAACAAGACTTGTCTTGATGGGGGGGGGGGGGTGCTACTTTTTAAGTCATCTGGGAGTTGCCTCGTCTGGCGCACGAGCTGCGGATCAGGAATCAAATAAAATCACTAACTGGCAACGCTCCAAAGTTGACCTCATCTCTCACTTTTACTGCATCATCAAAACTGAATGACTGCTCAGCTGTTTTTATCACAGTCACTGCCTTTGATTTTTAAGTACCGTATTTTCCGCCATATAAGTCATCAGTTCAAATATGTCTAATAAAGTGGGTGTGTGTCGGGGGGAATAAGTTGCATCTATTGTGTCACTGCTGAACACTGGGCCGGTGGTGTGCCAAAAATCGATTGGCTGCTAAATGGTGGTCACAGGAGCATGCACAGAAGGACTTAAGCAAGAATTTAACAAGATTAACACAATTATTTGTTTGCTCGACATTATAGTAAATGTGTGTCTCAGATGAACTTTTACTTAATAAATTCACTTCAATGGTCAAATTAGCTGCATTTTGTTGGAGCGGTGCAGCGAAATGAAGCTGATTTAACACGAGCTGGACAAAGGTGGATTATGGCAAGCTGATTGTGTCATTAATAGCCACTTTTACCTATTACATAACACAACAGCATGCCATACTACTCGAGTGCCATCTAGCGGCTCAAAATGGTAGTGTTCAATATTTTCAGTCTGAATGAATGAAAACCCTCATATCTCGGCTGAAAATTGGTTTATAAATATGGAAAAAATAATAAGTTGCTTCGGTGTATAAGTCGCAGGGTATGCAAATTATGCAAAAAACTGCTACTTATAGGCCGGAAAATACGGTATTTAGAAAAGCTGAAAGAAACCTCTTAAAGATGTGTCTCTTTTGGTGCATACAAGTTAAAAGTGCAACATTTTCTGGTATTTCTCATTAAATCTTTGCTCCAGTTGCTGCAGGTGGGCGTCAGTTATAAAAAGAGCATTTCATTTTGGAGAATAAAACAAATGTTTGCGCTAAATCCCTCTTATCTTTTAGTAATCGCATACAAGCTGTGTTGCTTAGCAACAAATGCAACACCTCGTTTAGCTCCGGAGGCAAATATGAGTGTGTGTGATGGCACCGGCTGTAGTGTGGACACACACACACAGTCGTCACGCTGCGATGGAGACAGACGGCGTGCGCTTACTCTTTGCCCAAACGCTTGTTATTCGTATCATAAATGGCTGCGTGTTTTCAATCCTCCAACTAAAGAGAATGTGTTCATGTGAAACAGTGAATGATGAATGCATAAACAATTTTATATTTTGATAGTGTTTTTATTATTTTTTTACAGTTTATCATACTGCAAAAGCACAGTTGTAAACAACATGACTATATATATATATATATATATATATATATATATATATATATATATATTAGTTTTGGTGTCCATGTTTGATGTTTGCTGCACGGTCAGAACTGTCTGAGGTGAGTCGTGTTCTTATGACCCATCAAAACGTCTGCTGTGATTTTATTTTATTTTATTTTATTTTTAAGAGCCGCTCCATCAACCATCAAACACTGGCCATTTAATTAGAATAAGGGACAAATGTCTTTAAAAAGAACTTGGAACTTTTCCATTGTTTTCCTTTGTAATTTTATCAAAACAATTAGATTATTTGTTTCTCTTATTTTAGATATAATCATAGTTTAATTTTTAATATCACCACACTGAATACATTTACAGCCCTGATTCTGAAAAAGTTGTTTCGGTCTTTAAAATTTGAATTAAAAGCAGAATGCAGTGATTTGTAAATTTTATAAACTCACAGTTTTTTTGTTGTTTTTTTCTCAGGGGAACACAGAAAACATCAAATGCTGAATTTTATTTGATAATTTGTTTACTCTGGAGAGGAAGGTAATTTTGAATTTTATTACAGCAATACATAAAAAAAAACTTGAGACAGGACCATGTTTTCCACAGAAGTCTACACTCCTCTTTTAAGAACAGTCTAAAACATCTGGGGACTGAGGGAACCAGCTGCTGGAGTTTTTATGGAGAAATGTCCCATTATTGTCTGATTGCAGCTGTTCAACAGTCCTGGTTCATCTTTCCTGGAGTTTTTGCTATGGGAGCATATTTTATTCTAAAACCTGTATATACTTTTCTACATTGATTGTTTCCAAATTTAGCTTCTGCCTATGCCACTGGCAGTAATGTACCCATATACCATCAGAGAGGCAGGCTTTTAAAACATGCATTGATAGCAGGCCAGATGGTCCCTCTTCTCTTTAGCACAGAGGTTGTTGCATCCATCCTTTATCTTTTACCCGCTTCTTCCTTTTTGGGTCACTGGTGCTCATGTCCAGCTATCACTGTGTGAGAGGCGGAGGACATCATGGACAGGTCTCCAGTCCATTACAGGGTCACATAGAGACAACAAGACAACCATTCACTCTCTTACTCTCACACCTAGGGACAGTTTAGAGTTACCAATCAGCCTAACATGCAGGTTTTGGTCTGTGGGAGGAAACCGGAGTACCTGGAGAAAATCAACGCATGCACGGCGAGAACATACAAACTTCACCCAGAAAAGCCCCCGGTCGGGATTTGATCCGGCAACCTGCTCGCCAAGAGGTGGCAGCTCTACCAACTGCGCCACCGTGCCACGTTGTGGCATTCATGGCTAAAACAAATTCAAAACCTTGAACACTTTTACTGTGTTGCCTCCGTCTATTTTAAATGGACATCAGCCCAGAGAAGATGGAGGTGGTTCTGGACGGTGTTCAAGGCTTTATCTTTGCACAGTAGAGTGTTTGGCACAGCAGTTATAGAAAGTGCTGTGTAGATCTGTTCCTGAGCCCATGCAGTGTTTTAAATGTAGCGCTGCCTGAGGGCCTGAAGATCACGGACATCCTGAACTGACTTTCAGCCAGGTTCTTTGAGTTTTCTCCAGATTCTTGAAATCTTTTGGTTGTACGAAGAATACACGACAGAATACTGAAATCTATAAAATTCTCCACTGAGGAACATTATTTTGAAATTGGTCCACTATTTTTAGACACATTTTATGCAGACCGGTGAACCTCTACCCATCTTTACTTCTGAGAGCCCAGTATGGTTGTAACATGGGGAGAGTTGTAACACCACCAGTTCCACCAATCACAGATAAGATAGGAGTCATATGATCATTCCAGTCAAGGCTGGAAACAAGAGCATACTGATTCTATAAAGAACAAACAATTTGAGGTAAGAAAGTCAATTTTTTAACCAATTTTGATTAGTAGCTATATACTATTGCAGATAAAATCATATAAATTATATTACATCAAATTGTAGATTCTTAGCCAAAATGTGATGCCTTTTTCCTCTGCTAATTTCAAACCACTATGCTAATACAGCTAGCTAAACAATGGCTGACAGGGATGGGGTGGGTTAACACATCTTTTAAAAGTCTTACAACCATACCCTTACATATAACTAAAGAAACTTTCTTGATTTTA